GATAAAATAAATATTGATGAAGATTAAGAATTTTGCGTTTTATTTAAAATTTCCGGAAACGTTTCGGTCACAATGTATCTTAACAAAAAATGCTTTCCGACACCAAAAGACCGATTAAAGTCATTATAAAAAATTTGCATCATACGTGGGACTTGGAGTCAGTAGTCTCAGACTTAAAAAAGCAGAGCTTAAATGCAATTTCAGCGATAAATAAACTAAAATGGAAAGCTAAAGAACCGTTAAACATGTTTTTAATTTTGTTCTATAAAATATCAAAAATCTTAAATACGATAATGGGTGCAGATTCAGTTAAACAATTGAAAATTTCGCAGCAATGTAAAAATTGCAATTGTAAAAATTGGGTTTTGCACACACAAAAAACTACTGCGGTAAACAACCTAGACAAAATGTTGTAATTGAGGAGATACAATTATTCAGCAAGCTATCGGGGATGTGTGGTAGCAAAACAGTTGCAAAAGCTACGAGATAAGACAAGCTCGGTTATAAGAAACCAAAAGCAACCAACCAATAGCGGAACGCATGAAGTTGACATTCCAGCCAAGAGTGTAAAAGACATGGAGTACACAGAATCCTGTCCACAAACAGAAGCCAAAATGCAATCCAATGCACAAACAACTAAAACTGAAAACACAAATCTGAAGTCTGAGAATGCAATCATTATGCTAATCTTGGAGAAATTAAATAAGCAAGAACAATTCAACAAAAAGTCGCACGGTGGGTAAAGCTATAAGGATACATTAAACATCCCCAAGGAACTCAGTTAACAGCTCCTGAACTCCAGATAGTTTCAGTTTAAATCGAAGCTGATCACTAACTTTTAACGATAGTGGCTTTATATCAGGGTTCAAAAAAACACTGTGCTGTGCACAAAAATGCAAAACACCACGCACAAATGTTGTGCGATTCTAAATAAAATTTCACACCACAAATGTGGTGTGCGAAAATTTTTGTGCACATCTTAAGTGCCACATCTTGTGTGCACAAACAAAACGCACATTTCACACGAATGTGGTGGAGTGAAATAAAACTCGCACACCAATTCGGTGTTTGTGCCGAAGTTATTTCGCACAGCACATTGTGTGTGCGGCAGCCAGCTTGCCCTCGCACACAACGTGTGCAGAAAAGAATACGAGGAGCACATTTTGTGTGCAGACTCGAAAATAAAAATGCACCCAAATGTGCGGAGACGAAATGTCTACTGCACATTTGTGTGAAATGATGATTTAAAAGCGCACAAATATCGCAGCAAAATAGTACGGAAAACTGATTTGTATTAATTTTGGTCTTAATGCGAAATATTTTATTGAAGAAATGATTTTGTATTTATATTTTAATTTTGAATTTATTATTAGATTTACATTTATTGCTTATATTACTTATTATTTTAAGGTTTATTAATTTAAAACATGGGAATAAAGTTAATTTCACAATGTTTTAAGTACATTAACTTTGTTATATTAAATAGGTACATGAATTTAATAGAGAAAGAGTATTTGTTTCGAAATGTTATAAGTAAAGAGGATCGGTTCTTCGGATCGTACTTTGAAAAAATTAAATATATCAATTTTGGACTACTTCATAAAATTTTATTTAATAGTAAGTTGTACACTAAGATTCGTTAGTAAGGTTATAAAAAGCAAATTAAAAAGTTTCTACAACAACATAAATTAATTTTGTTATTAGATTTCATTTAATTTTTTATCTTTAATTACAGCTTAAATTTAACGAATTTATTGAAATAATTTAATATCTTAATTTCTTATTAAAAAATATATAATTTTTATTACATATTTTTTGAAATAAATTTTCATTTAATCTTATTAATAACATTGCTGAAATATTTTTTTCACTTAAATTATATCTCTGCTTATTTAGCACAGTAGAAAGGGCGCTAAAATCCTGCTACCTATTCAAGAAAATATTTTCCTAATCTTTCGCGTTTTCTAATGAATGTTAGAAACTCTACCTAAGTGAATACATATTTCTGGAGAAGAAAAATATCTATTTGTGACCATCCCATATTATCTTTTTTAAACTGTTGCAAAATTTATTAAACAAATACACCAATACCAATACCTGCTACCTGTTCAAAAAAAAATATTTTCCTAATCTTTCGTAATCTTTCATATTTTTTGGGCATAAAAAAATCTTCCTAAAATATGTTTTTATTTTTTTTAAACTGGTGCAAAACTTTCCAAACAAATACTTTAAGTTCACTTACTATATTTGCATTTAAAAATGCACAAAGTAATATACAAAAAACTAATATTTTAAGTTAAAATACAAATAAGGTTAAGACAGTTATAATATTTAGTTAACATTAATTAACAAAAATAATTATTTTAAATATTTGTTAATTTATGCAATTTTTAACATATGTTACGATCCCAACGAACGCAAATATCAATTTTTTCAAAATTTGCAACAAAATAATATTTTCTATTTCAAACAAAATTGTGAAGTTCCTGTAATTTTTTACCACCCTTGGGTGCAAACGCAAAATCGCACATTTGTGCACGTTTGTACAATCGCACATTTATGCACATTTGTGCAAACGTAATATGAGCAACACACTCGTGTGCAGAGAGAATTTTTTGTCGCACAGTGCGGTGCGAGCATAAAATTTTCTCGCACATCTGATTGTGCACATTTTTGTAAATCAGTCGCACAGCACAAATGTGTGTGCACGAATCTGTGTGCACAATCATCGCTTTGTGCGATGTGAAATTTAAAATCGCACAACAAATTTGAGTGCGTGCATTTTTTTTCTTAACACCACAAATGTGCGTGTGCATATTTTAAAAATAATTTCCACTCGCATAGTGCAGTGTGCGATTTTGTGCACCACATTCCGAACTCTGCTTTATATAGCCCTCCGCGGCATAATATAGGCAAAGAAAAATACATTAAAGTGTTAAAGGCTGTTGGAGAGAAATTTATTCTTTGTGGCGAATGTATTTTTAATGCTAAAAATACATTTTAGGGTTCGAAACTTATTACGACTAAGGGTTCGGAACTTCTAAAAGCTATTCAGTAATCGGGTTGTGAAACAATATCGATAAGAAAAACTACTTATTGGCCCACAGATACAAGTAAGATACCTGATCTTATTGACATTTTTATTTCAAAAAGTTTTTAAAAGCTTCATGGTAATTAAGGATGGAGCTGATCTGAACTCGAATCATTTCCCAATCTTTTTAAATATTTACAGTTCTATAGTATTTTCTGGCTAAAAATTCACCGGCTGGAAGCTTTTTAAAACACTTGTGAATCAATTAATGATAAATCATGTTATCGCCATAGAAGCTGAACATCACCTAGAAAGCGATATAAAAAAATTTACACAAAATATCCCTAGTTGGAATAATTGAAACATAGTACTCGCGTTATAAAGCAGGTCAGTACTGACTGCAACTATCCCAATGAAATCAAGCAATTAGTTACCGAAAAACGCAAACTTAGACGGAAGTGCCAAATGACCAGATCTTCTGGAGATAAGTCTCTGTTCAATAAAGTTTGTAAAAGGTTGACTCAAAGACATCTTAAAAACGACTCCTTCAAAACATTTCTAGATAATTTATCGTACAAAGAGAATTCACACTACTCACTCTGGAAGGCAACAAAAAACCAGTGTTGCACACTCCAGTGACACACTCCTCGCCATTAAAACTTAAAAATAATTGGGCAAAAAGCAATCAGCAGAAGGCAGAACACTTTTCGGAATATCTTAGAAGTACTTTTACAAAAGAAAATGGTGAAAAGAATATTTCGGCTAATATAAAAGTAGACAGCGAAATAAGCATACCTCCAGCTTCTGCTCAGGAAATAAAACACATCATTGTCTTTAAAACTCAAAAAAGCTGCTGGATTTGACCTCTTGACAACTGAGATTGTAAAAAACTTGCCAAAAAAAAAATGCCATCAAAGTTCTGACATTTCTTAACAACACATGCCTCAAACTGAGACACGTACCCTCCTTCTGGAAGGTATCTGAAGTAATAATGGTAGCCAAACCTGGCAAACCTGCAGATGAAGTTTCTTCATATAGACCCATATCCTTGCTACCCATTTTGTCGAAGGTTTTTGAAAAAGCATTTAAAAAGCGACTATCAAATCCTATAAAACAACAAAACTTAATTCCTAATCATTAATTCGGCTTTAGAACCAGCCACTTAACAATTGAACAAGTCCATCGAATTAGTAATATAATAGAAAACTGTTTGAAAAAGAAGGAAGTGTGTTCGGCAGTGTTCCTTGATACCTCGCAGGCATTTGACAAGGTGTGGGTCTTATGAGCAAATTACGAATGCAATTGCCAGAACAATATTGTGATCTTAGAGAATCTTATATAACAAATAGATATTTTCGAGTTAAACAAGAAGACTGCTACTCAAATCTAAAAGAAATTAAATCGGGTGTTCTACAGAGAAACGGTCTTGGTCCTATACTTATTCTTCCCTTTGTTTACTAATGATATCCCAGTAACAGAAAATTAGTTATAATGAAGTGGAATCAACTAAAACTTTCCAGCTAGCCATTAATAATGTTCATCAGTGGAAGAAACAATGACGACTTAAGCTTAACAATACAAAATTGGTACATGTTTACTTTACAAATAAAAGGGTCTCCCACTGCAAATTAAATATAGGAAAATGAATTACCCTATACCCTAATACCCTATGCGAATACAGCGAAAAACTTAAGCATAACCTTAGACGCTAAACTACGTTGGAAAGAGCATGTGAAAAAGAAAAAACAAGAACTTGACCTAAAGTATAAGCAGATAAAGTGGTTAATCGGCAGACATTCCGTGTTATCGACACAAAATAAACTCCTGATTTACAACTAAATTTTAAAGCCTGTATGGACTTACGGTATACACTTATGGGGATGCACCAGTAAGAGCAATGTTATGATAATACAGCGTTTCCAAAACAAAGTACTTAGAAATATTATAATTGCGCCCTGGTACATTCGTAGTGCAGACCTACATCGTAACATAGCAATCAAATCCATTGAGG